GCAAGAGGGACAGTCCATTTCTCACTTCTCAGTTAATCTTTTGTGAACATCTCTTTATTTCATGAGTAATAACAGCATGTTTATGTTCCTGCTTCATGAGGGCTGCTCCTGGAGTCAGACTGGGGCTGTGGACATCCCTGGTCTGTGGTGTCAGATACTGGAACCAGTGAGGTTTTTAACTCCCAGCCCTGGGGCTTCGACCCAAAAGTCAGCTACTGGGAGACAACCAGGGTAAGTGAGGAGGGCAGACGGGCCAGTGCTTCAAACATGCCCGTGCCTGTGAACCTGGAGAGTGCGGTGCGTGCACTCTGCCTCTGCCAGCCTGCCTCTGCCAGCCCCAGAGGAGGAGGGGACGTGGCTGTCTGTGCCCGTGTCCTGTGTGAGTCCTGAGTGTGGGCGCTGCTGGGGGCAGCACCTCGTCTGTGGCCATCTGTGTAGCCGGCTGAGCACATGTCCTGTGGGTATCTGTGTGCTGTCCCTGGGACACACACTTAACTTTGCTACTGGTTGATCCTGCTAATGGGAAAATGACAGAAGCATCATGCCCTCTGCCCAACCAGAGACCCCGGTTCCCCAGGAGCACCATGCAGGAGCATCTCCAGTGGCTGGGCAGGAGGGTTCTAAACTGGGGCGGCTGGAGCCAGTGGCTGTTCCAACTTTCCTTAACAGTTTGTAAGCATGAGACTATTTACTAGTATTCTAATATCTGAATAGGAATCAGAAAATGTACCGAGTTCTTATTTAACAAAAAAAAAAAAAAAAAAAAAAAAAGAGCTTAAAAAACCCCCCCGACAATCTATCATTAAATCCAGGAAGCCCTAGCCATGAACTTATTTGCATGCTGGATTAAGGAATGGGTCAAGTACAACAGACAGGGTATTTTACCTTGCTACAGCCTCAAACTTTTAAGAGAACACCTCAATCATTTATATTATATATACATATAAGTATATATACACATACTTCTATGTATATTTACAAAGTATGCATATTTATATAAAACATTTCAAAAAGCACACCAGGGAGAAATGTTCTATAATAAACACATTGGATATTTTTTTTTTTTTAAAAAAAAGAGAAAATACTATACCTTCTTAAGTAGGTTTTGTTGTTTGTGTATTATACAAACACAAGAAGCATAAGCACTCACATCCTGAAGATTAAACTCAATTACTGTACATTGTACAGTTTGAATGAAAATGCAAGTAAGATGAAGATAACACTTTTTCTCAAGATAGTTATTTACATCAAATAAATGAATAATGAATGCTGTCAAATGTTTTATGTATGTGAAGACAAAGTGGTTTGCAGTAATTTCCACAACTTGTAAAATGCCACAAAACAATCTTAAGGGATTTTACCTTTTTTTTTTTTTTTTCACTAAATGAATTTCCACTAAACTGAAGATGGAGTAGATAGATTTTCAATGACACATATCTTAAAAGCAAGAATTACCTAAGAGGAAAAAATATGATATTTCCCTATTTTTGCCCTTAGAGTATTTACAATAGGTTGTACAATACTTCTCTCAGTCTTTAAAAAATATGTCTATATGAGAATAAAAATACAAAATTAAAATAAATAACATTTAAGTGAAGTGTGCTGTGAGAAATGTCTTGTTAGAAACTAAAAAAACCCTCAAAAAAAGCCCAGAAAAAAAAGGACATCATAAAAGTTCACCAGAGCAGAAGAGTAACTTCATGCAGCTATGTTAGATGATATTCTAGTGAAATAATGATACATAAGCAATGAACTACATTAGATATACCATATTTTTAAAGAAAAAAGGATAAATACAAATGACTGAAAACCATTAAAGAAAAGGCAAAACATTCAATATGAGAGTTTAAGGAACAATGGCTGAGGACCTCACAGTTTTACATTTCAAAAGATTAATTTTTTATTGTATCTGTGGTAATATCAAAGATATTTCTAAAAAATATCTAAATAATAATTAAATTACTTTTTAATATTGCTTGATATAGACTAATGATGCAACTCACCTATTTACCATCAGAGCAATTTTTGTGATGTTGTATCTAGTCAGAAGATAATGAAAAACACACATTTAATATCAATGTTTCAGTAAATCAGCTTTTCCCTCTCTGTTAATGACCTGTCACAGACTTATGAAAGAGTTTCTTGGTCATGTAATTTTTCATTTCTTTTTCCTTTGCATGTACTTAAAGACTGCAATTCAGTAAATAATGAACTAATCTAGGACTTTGTTGAACCAATCTAGGACTATTCCAAGAGTAATATATATCAGTGGTTTTGAATCATGGTTATCCTGACACTTTTGTGGGTTTTTGTTTGTTTATTTGGTTTTTTGTGTTTGTTTTTTTTTCCTGCATATTTTCCTTGTCCTTTTTTATTCTAGCTGCTAGCTAATGAGACAGGTCAGAATACCTCATAAGACATCGGTCAGTATTCTGCCACAAATATAACACTGCTCAATTTTTTCTACTGATCTTTTCTTGCTGTGCAAGTATATTTTCCTCATCAGAATTATTCATAGCACTATCTAACACAGACCATATACATTGTATTCTATTGCATGGCTTTTGTTCTGGCTTTGGGATTCCAAGATGACTGCAAGAAGTCAGTGTTTTGCTATTACAAATTGGTGTATGTATTTACTAATTTATGTCAGTCTAGTATCCTCCTTTGTCTGTGCACTTAGACAGTTTTTATATACTACTAGAATATTAAATCTTCCTAATCCAAATTACAGAAGTCAGTGTGATGATATGAAGGGGTAAGGTGAAAGGAAAATTGTCAGAAGCATGTACCTCTAATCTATTAATACATCTAATTC